GTCTTTGAGCAGGGTCACCTTTCTCAAACACACATGCAAGGTCACAGCAAATTTCCAAGGCAAGTCCATTTAACATGGGGTACGCTGGCAAGGAAATATTGATGCGTCATTCCTACTTGGCAATGGCCCTCAGCAATCTATAAGTAATGCATCTGCTTCCTATGACTTGCTCTCTGCCACTGTGTTCTGTTTCACTGAACTCTGACAAATGGGTGCCCAGCACACATTGAACCTGCTCCACACCATGTACCCTGGGAAAGAAGAAAGGGGCTGGCAGCTTGCCTTTGGTGATGTCAGCAAAGTGTGCACTGGACTGTGCACAGAAAAGAGGTGAACTGTGCAAAATTAGCTGGTTCTTCACATTACTGCTCCTCTAGTAAATCCCTTATGAATTTTCCAGTTGCTAGCTGATCTACACGTTAAAGAGTGTCTTGCTAATTTTACAAACATCTTATATGCCAAAACATATGAAAGAAAAGTCATTAAACAAGCATTAATGTTGTAAAAAGATTATTTAATGAAGATGAGGAGCAATTTTAATACAAAACTCTTTCTCAAGACGTTTGACAGATCTTAGGCCCACTTCCCATCTTTATATTTAGGAAGGTATCACTTTTGAAGTCATAAAAGACATAAAGTTTCTTGCCAGGGGATCTGTAATGGCCCTTAGAGAATCATATGACAAAGATAAAATGGAAGAGACCATAATCTCAAAGCATTTTCCATAACTTTTGTACAGAAGGTGACTGAGAATTTATCATGTAAACCAGAGTATGGTTGAGAGGGAAAGGGGGTGCCATTATAATTACACCAGAACACCAGGTATAAGAAAATCAGGAGTTGGAAACCAGAATACACAGTCATCTTATAAATGCATCCTTTTTACCTGTGAGACATAAGGGCAAGACAGTCATTCTGTACCTTGATTCCTGCTCCAAAATGGCAGATTTAACACAATAGAGTTTTGCACTAAGTGTTTGTAAGAGGTTAGGAGGAAAGTCTGTGTACCCTGGAAGATGCATAGCTTATGTTTACCTTTTGAAAGGTGTCTAAGGCAGTTTTCCTTCACTCTGACAAAATACCTGGAAAAAAAAAATCAACTTCAAGGAGAAAAGATATACTCTGGCTCCCAGTTTGAGAAGTTTTAGTCCATGGCCAACCGGATCCATGGAGTTTAGGCCTGTAGCCTGGCAGACCATGATGGCAGGGAACACATAGGAGAGCAAAGCTGCTCGCTTCATGGCAGCCAGAGAGCAAAGAGAGAGCTCACTTATAACAAAGCTCCTCCCCTCAAGCTCATGAAGCTTTCAATCCATCCATTGATGAGGTCACAGCCTTCACCTCTCAAAGGCCCCACCTCTGAACACTGCTGAATTAGGGACCAAGCCTTCAACATGGGGGGGGGGATTTCAGATCCAAACCATAACAAAAGGTAACTACTATAGTTTGAAATAGATGAACTACATAAAGCTAACTAACTTTTTTTTATACCACGTTCATCTTTATTTTTCTTCTTGCCGTGCTAGGGATTGAACCCAGGGCATGTGCCAGGCAAGCATTCTATCACTGAGACACATCCTCAGCCTTCCATGTTTATCTTTTTAAGAATTTTATGCATTTTTCTAAGACAACATGCATAAGCCTTCACCACCCCTCTTTGCTTAGAGAAGAGATACCCTTCCAACTTGAATATATAATTCCAATTCTATCCATTTTTTCCTACTGAATTTATTTTTTACTTCTAACTGGTTAAATACACATAAAATTTACCATCTTAACCATTTTAAAAATTTATCATCTTGAGCATTTTTAAGTGTCCAGTACAGTAGTATTACTTATATTCACATTCAACATATCTCTAAAAACTCTTTTATCTTGTATCACTGAAACTCTATATCCACTATGCATAAATTCCTAACCTCTCTCCCCATGGCTCTTTTTTTAAAACTTTTTTAAAATACTTTTTTAGTTGTAGATGAACACAATATCTTTATTTATTTATTTTTATGTGGTGCTGAGGATTGAACCCAGTACCTCACACATGGTAGGTGAGCACTCTACCACCGAGCCACAACCCCAGCCACCCGCCATAGCTCTTGGCAACCACCTTTTTTACTTTCTGTTTCTATGATTTTGATGAGTTTAGATACTTCATATGAGTGGAATCATGCAGTATCTTTCTGTGACTAGCTTATTTCACTTGGCATAATGTCTTCAGGGTTCAGCCACATTACATATGTGACAGGATTTTCTTCTTTTAAAGGTAATATCCTATTTTATGTATTTATCTCATTTTCTTTATTGATTCATTTGTTGATGGACATTTAGGTTGCTTCCACCTCTTGGTTATTGTGAATAATGCTGCTGTGAATATGGGAGTGCAGTTTTTTCTCTGGGATCCTGGTTTGAATTCTTTGGGATATATATACGTAGGGGTGGGGTTGCTGGATCTCATGGTAATTCCATCGGTTACCTTTTCACATTGTTGAATGCTTTCTTTGACAAGCAGACACTTTTAATTTTGGTATAATCCCAGTTCCATCTTAACCATCTTTAAGTGTACAGTTGAATAATGGTAGTGTATATTCATCCAACCTTGTCTTACAAACTAGATGACGAGCATACTAATGAAACATTTCTAGTTTTTGATACAGTGTTGCATCTGAAAACAACCTTAGTGGCAACTGGAAACATTCTAAGATATTTATAAGCAAGAGCAACAGTGGCATGGATTCTTCAGACTATGGAGAATTATCCAGATTTTATATTTTAGCCCTCTTCCAAAAGTCTTCCAAACAACTGTATAAATTGGGACATTTAAGTTGATCACATGTCTTGGAAAAAAACCTTAACTAATAAGTAAATAAAGTTCATAAAGTTTTTTATTTGATTTTTGTAATGCTAAAGTATAAGGGACTCACAAATGCAAGGTAGGCACTCCACTACTGACTACATCACTAGACTAAGTTCAGATACTTTTTTTACAGTGGTGGGGATTGAACCCAGGGCCTTATGCATGCAAGGCAAGTACTCTACTAACTGAGCTATATTGCCAACCCTAAGTTTGAATACTTTTAAGGGAAGCTTTAAAAGAAGATAGCTCTATCATTGGGAAAATATCATAATCTATGTAATGGTGTATAAATATTGCAAAATAATACTATTTGCATTTGAAGATTATTTCTGTAAGTGTTCCATGAAAGAATTCTAAGTTATATGCACTTTAAGCATTTTTCTTTACAATGTTCTGCAGTGCTTTCTATGAGATCAAACAATTAAGTAAAACATCTAGTCTTCAGAAATGTAAAGGATTCTAGATATTGTTTTCTTATAATTACAAAACAAATTTTCTGTATAATACAATGATAATAAGTAAGTACATCATGTACTACTAATAACAAATAAAAATAAAGGCAAA